GAGAAATTGAGAATACAAAACATTTGACTTCTCTGTTTTTTTTATGAAACATAAATGTTCATTCAGTTATTAACTCCTCTAAGCCTCAGTTTTCGCATCTGTGAAGTGGGGATAATCCTTTTTAGCTCAGAGGATTGTTAGGAAACAGTGAAATACTGCATAAAGTGTACTAAACACAGTGCCTCACACATGTACCAATTTTGGTTTATCGTGGAAGCTTTTAATATTATTATTAGTACATGGTCCAGAGTTGGAACCATCTGGCCCTGAAGAGACCAGAGTGTCTATTGCATTTGTGGTCCCCAGGGAATGGGTCTCAGACAAGAGTCCTTAGGGGCACATCAACTGGATTTGGAACACTGTCCAGGTTTGGAACTATCGGTCTGCTCTCCTGGGCACCAGGACCCTTGTTTTTGTGACCTAGCCACCTTTCAGGAAAGGAACAGCAGTCAAAACACTGGGTTAAGGAAGAGCTTGAGCTGATTTAACAAGCTGCTAAGAGAAGAGGGAAAAGTGCAGCAGTTCAGCCCGCAGGGCAGCCCTTGCAGCCCAGCCCCCAGCCGCTGCCCACTTGGCGGACATTTCCACCAACGCTCATGGTGACCCCCGCCACGGCGGGAGCCTCAGAGCCCCCGCTTCCCACCGTTCCTCTGGTCCATGGTCCTCATCAGAACCCCCTTCCTGGGGCTCCCCTCTGGCCATCTGCCTTGTGTCTGTAATCCCTCTTTGAGGGTCACTTCAGGGGGAAACGCTCATGGGAGGACAGCTCTTTAAGAAGGGGGACTGCACATTAAATTGGGAACCCTCAGATAAATACAGCTTTGAAACTGTTCATTTTCTGTGGTGTGATTGGAAAGCCGGCCCGACTTAAAGTTTAGAAAACTATGTCAGGGACCGTATGAAATGCAGCCAGAGTCAGAAGTTTCCTACCCAGATCTCTAGCAGAGGAACCAAACTCAAAACGGATTCTCTATAGATTCTACAATGGCTGCGCAAAAGACAAGAGGATGCTGGTGATGAACAAGTCACTTTACCCACAGCTTAACTCTGCCTCAGCCCTACAGCAAAAAGAAGAATCCCTCCCTCTCTTCACCCAGGGAGCTTGCAGGGCCCTGAGGGGCCAGTGAGATCGCCTGCTCAGAGCAAATTGCTGTGCTCCTCTAGAATTATCTTTCCAATACGGTTCCCACAGTCATCCCCTGCAGCTTAAATATCTTTGAGTTTCCTACTGAAATACAGACATCTTAACATGGTGTTCAAGGCCCTTCCCAATCTGGCCTTGAGCTCTGACCCCATCTGACTCCCACAAAAACCTCACGACAAACTCAGCCTGGAGTTCTCTTTCCTTTCATCCTCAAAACCTAGTTCTACGAAAGACAACAAGCCTTGGTGATGATGTGGAGAAATTGGTGGGAATGTGGAATGGTGTAGCCACCGTGGAAAACTGTATGGAAGTTTTTCAAAAACTTAAAAATAGAACTACCATGTGATCCAGCAATTCCACTTCTGGGTACGTACACCAAAGAATTGAAATCAAGATCTCAAAGAGATATCTGCACTCCCATGTTCATTGCAGCATTATTTACAATAGCCAAGACATGGAAACGACCTAAATGTCCATCGACAGGTGAATGGATAAAGAAAATATAGTATACACATACAGTGGAATATTATTCAGCCTTAAAAAAGAAGGAAATCCTGCCATTTGCTACAACATGGATGAACTTGGAGGACATCATGCTAAGTGAAATAAACCAGACACAGAAGAATAGATACTACATGATCCCACTTATGTCAGGCGCCTAAAATCATCAAACTCATAGAAGCTGAGAGTAGAATCATGGTTTCCAGGGGCTGGTGGGAGGGGCATTGGGGGGCATTGGTGAAAGGTACAAACTTTCCCTTATGCAAGAATAAGTCCCAGAGTGTCTGTAGTTAACAATACACTGTATTTGTTATGTAAACATTTGTTAAGAGGGTAAATCTTATGTTAAGTGTTCTTACCAAAAAAAAAAAAAAAAAAAAAAACCTAGTTGTAGTGTTACCCCTCCTGATGTGCTTTCCCCCATGCAAACCTATTTCCCTGGTTTACCATAGACTTTAATAATTTTACCAGGGGACTTCCCTGGCAGTCCGGTGGTTAAGACTCCACACTCCCAATGCAGGGGGCCCGGGTTCAATCCCTGGTTGGGGAACTAGATCCCACATGCATGCTGCAACTAAGAAGTCCACATGCCTCAACTAAGACCTGGCACAGCCAAAATTAACTGATTAATTAATTTTTAAAAAATAATAGTAAGTTTACCAAACATAAGTTTTGTTTCTTAGCTAGGAATGTTGTAGGGGTTAGGAGACCTGGGGTCAGTCTGCCTGGCCTCAACAGCCCACGTATCTTAAGCCTCGTTTCTTCACATGTTACAGAGGGTTAATAATGCTCGCGCCTCCAAGGGTTGTTCTAGGAATTAAATATCCAGTTTGTCTAAGACAACTGGCATATTTTAAGGGTTCAACAAATACTAACTCTTGTTACTGGACAGCTTGTGTTCAGTCACATTAGTTGGTTGTTTGTATGATTGTTTCTTAGTGAGGCTGTGAGCTGCTCAGGGTAAATCCCTGTATTTGTCTACCTTCCTAATACTGCTGCACGCACCCAATTCCTGCGATGAAGTGAATTGAATCGAACTGACCTGACCTGAAGTCCCACAAGATGGCAGTAGCCACCAGCCCCAGAAGCTTCCTTGTGGAGCCCTCCCCCAAAGCTAGACAGGCTAAAAAGGACTCTCCTTTTATGGGCAGCTGATGGAGCTGAGGTGTCCCCAGTTTCCTGCCACCAAGTGGCTATTTGTTCTGGTGCCTCTACCACCAGCGAAGCCAGATAGGAATTCCGGACAGCCAGGAACTGAGGTCCGCCTCCCCATGCTGGGATCAGAGTCATCCCGAGTCTCCTTGGTCTGAGGGTGTTTCGAGGGAAGGCAGATCACTGGAGGGAGGGGATGGAAACCAAATACTGGAAGTGTGTGCGTGGAGGGCAAGTTGGTGAACACACAAGGGGTTCTGATATTATACAAGGAGACGAAGAATGAGTCATTGAGTAGCCTGCAGTCATTGAGGAAAAGACAAGGGAGGAAGAGGGGAACAAGCCAGCGCAGGTGTCAGTGGGACCAGAGCCTCTTCCTGGTCATCATGGAAGCCTCAGGATACATCCTGGCGGCAGGGTTTTTGTACTCGGTGGCAGGTGCATCCTACCTCCGCATCCTAAATGGGATGTGCTTTAGCTCAAAGTCACAGGCTGAAATTTACTGCAGGAGAAAAATATGGAGAATCATCAATTAAAATTTCTTTATGTACTTGTCTAAGTAAGACCCTGTTAGAATCCCCAGAATTACCATTCTTCATCATCCCCATTGTCATAGCTCTCTTAATCAAAATTCACATGGGACTAGTACAGCTCAGTCATGACACATTTTTTTCAATGTGATGAATAATCAGTACATTCATTTCTTCTGCCCCCAAGGCCTAAAAGCTCCCTTCTCCACTGATCTATTCTTTAATTAATGGGGAATTAATTTTTATACAAGGCTATTTCACCTGTATTCATTCCCCAGGTGTAAAAAGTTGTAAAATCCAACTTTTCAAAGAAGTGGCTAGCCCCCTGTTTTCCAAAGCCTTTGTTTTTCACAGTTCAAGTGGAAGGGTAAATGTCTCACATCGTCCTTGTGTTTACAAGGTCATCATCATGTTAACATAATCTCCCACCCAGAATACAAGTGCTGTGCTCTTCTCTGGAGTGCCATTTGCCCAGCCCCTGCACCATCATTGCCTGTAGCAGTAGTTCTCAAACCTTAGCGGTGTCGGGACCACCTGGAGGGTTTGCAGCACACAGATTGCTGGGCCCCACCCCATGCGTTTCTAACGCTTTCCCAGGTGACACTGCTGCTGCTGGTACAGGAGCCACACTGGCGAGAGCCATGCATCAGGAGGGTCTAGGACCCCTTCAACAGTCGTTTGTTCCAGGGAGATTCTAAAACCCAGGGCTACGGTCACGAAGACACTTGCTTTTGCTGATATGACTGGTATGACAATGTGTGCTTATAGTAAGCGAAACAGTGCTTTGGAAATGCCTCCACCCAGACTCACCCCTGATTTGAATGTTAGTTAGGAAAAAGATGCTGACTACAGGTTTGGGGTAGGTGGTGATTCTTAAATGCATATGTATGTTTGTGACTGAGTTGGGAAAGTTTCCTGACTTCCAAAATGCCCATCTGATGCTAGCTGAGATTCTGGAAACCCCAGAATTCCCAGGGGATTGGATTCTAAAGAAAGGACATGCCCCATTATAGGCTATGGGAACGCTTTTTCTTTTCTTCTCTTTTCTTTTTTAAATAAAGAATTCTAAAGAAGAAAATAAGAGGCACCAAATGAAACCATAATCTACCAGGAGGGCTGGGAGGGCTGTTCAATATATATGAGGGTCACTGAAGCATCAGAAAAGGGGAGAAAAGTCAGTCAGAACCAAGCGAGTGTTGTTAGTGTCGTCAGTATCTCACGTATCTGGAAGGTGATTAGGAATGTGTTTCATTTTCCCACGTGTAGGTTTACTCTCCTCACCATGTTCTCTAGCAACACAGAAGGCTCTTTTAAAGTGAAGCCTCCAGGGCTTCCCTGGTGGCGCAGTGGTTGGGAGTCCACCTGCTGGTGCAGGGGACGCGGGTTCGCGCCCCAGGCCGGGAAGATCCCACGTGCCGCGGAGCGGCTGGGCCCGTGAGCCATGGCCGCTGAGCCTGCGCGTCCGGAGCCTGTGCTCTGTGGCGGGAGGGGCCGCAGCCGTGAGAGGCCCACGTAGCACAACAACAACAACCAAAAAGATTATAAAGTAAAGCCTCCAGCCCTAAAGCCTTATCAGGTCATTAATTTTTCATCTAAAAGAGCACAATATCTTAAACTGAAACCTAAGAGGAAGATTTGAAGACAAACATTCAAAGGGGAGTTGTATATTACAGCGGTGATACGGTGACTGGGATACGATCTTTACTTTCTCTTTTTCTTTTAGAAACAGGGAAGATTGACCAAGAGATTCACAAGTACAACACCCCGGGATTCACTGGGTGCCTCTCCAGAGTCCAGTTCAACCAGATCGCCCCTCTCAAGGCAGCCTTGAGGCAAACAAACGCCTCAGCTCGCGTGCACACCCAGGGCGAGCTGGTGGAGTCCAACTGCGGGGCCTCCCCGCTCACCCTCGCACCCATGTCGTCTGCCACCGACCCCTGGCACTTAGACCACCTGGATTCAGGTAAAGTCTAAAGCAGTGTCTTGGCTGGGATGCTTTATTTCTTTACGCCTCAGTTTCCTCACCTGTAAAATGGAGTTAATAGCAGACCGTTGCTGGTGATGTAGTTGGAGGATTAAGGGAACGAAGGAATGTGTGAGTGCAGAGTTCTTAGCACATCAAGGGCTCAAAAGGTACAACCGTATTCGTGCTCAGGGCCAGAAGTAAATAAGCCGAAGGGAAGGAGTATAGGAATTATTGACTCTTCTGCACTTAAGTGAAATGATGAGGTACCTTAACCAATGTCTGCAACGTGACTGTCGGATGATCTGATCAGATCAATTCCTCGCTTTTGCCTTTGTGACTCAGCTGCCTAGCAGCCCCACTGTCCAAGTTCTGATATCAAAAGATTACCTAAAACCATACAGAGATTCGTCTCCCGACACTGTATTTGTACATATAATCCCATAGCCTTCCAGGTTTTATTGGTGCATTTAGGCTTAGAAAGCTCAGTGGATTTAGCTCCACTTCTGCAGGTGATAAGACTTGTCATTTGAAATCACAGTGCTAAAAGGATGCAGCTGTTGGCTGCGAAAGTAACTGGCTGCAGATTCAGTGTCCACAGGACCCCGAGTGGTGGGGAGCCTGTAAGTCCCCCACCTCACTCTACCCAGACTGACATCAGGCTACTCGGGTAACCTCTCCAAGCCTTTGCTTTTTCACCCACAAGGTATGAAGTGGGGCGTGATCTCTAAAACGCCTCCAAATCTACGATCCGATGGATCTCCAAAACAACGTCTGACTTTGCTGATGCCAAAGACAGGAAGGGGACGAGGGGGGAGCCCTGGGTTCAATACCATCACTGCCTCTCCCCAGCAAGTGTCTTAATCTCATTCCTCAGTTTCTCCACCTCTGAAATGGAGATAATAAGACCTAACTCAGAGAATTCCACGCAAGACGATGGATTTAAAACAGCACAGTCACAGACGTGGAGCAAAGCTGTACAAAAGTTTAGCTGCAATACTACTAACCAAGTGGTTATTATTATGTTCAACACAATTTGCTGTGATGTTTGAAGGTCCAGTAGTAAAGGCTCCCAGATCCTCCCCGACCCTAACTTCTAGTTAGTAACAGTTCATCATGGAAACGTCATGTGTTTGATTGCATTACATTATATTCCAGCCCCGAACACAGTATTTATCAGCTTCCGTGAAGCTTTGTCATCGTGAATTCTTGCCAGGATTTGCCTGCAAAACGTTGTGAAGCTTCGAAAAGAAGCCGAAATTGCCCCATTGTCAGAATTGCCAATTTACAGACTAAACAATCCTCTTCATTCCTCACATACGGGGCCCTATAACATGATGAGGGGGATGATGTGTGCCCAGGGTATGGATAAAGAACTGCCTTTTACGAAGTTGTGAGGATGACACAGCGGCCTGGTTTTTCCTCATGAGATGGCTTGAACAAAGGAAAGCAGTCCTAGTGCTGAAAGAAGAGAAGTAGGAGTGAAGTTAGGAGGCAAGAAAAAGCACTTCCAGGGCTGCAGAGGAACAGAGATTTCTCAGATAGATTCCTCCAGGTGCCAGGGTCGATGGAGACAAAGCCTAATCTTTGAAATACGCAGGTTCCTTACTGTTGGAGGTTCTCACTGCTTGAGGCCATCAGCGTGTGTGGTCCAAGTCAGCTGCCAAGAAATCAGTTTCAAAAGCCTCTAGATGCTACTTTGGGCCAATAGGGGTTCATATTCATTCTGCCTTAATTAGCAAATTATTTGCTTGATGGTCTGTGAGATACAGGTGTACGGGCCAAAGTTTGAGTTCATTTATTTTTTAAAAATCATGCTTTATACATGACAATTTCATTCTTTTGACTGATGTAATAATATATATAGGGAACATTCTGTTATTATTCAATGTTCAAATCAAAAGTCTACAATCCAGGTATTATGGTAGGCCTGTACTATATAACATAGGTCCATTTACAGAAAATTTCCACTTGTACTTGGACAGCAAGTTCTTACTTCGTGTTGACCAGTTGCTGTATCAATCCCATCATCATAATTTATTCCATGATAGGAATTCCAAGTTAATTTCCATGATGCTTATAAAGAAGTGTGTATCTGTCTCACGAACTTTATTAAAAGAACAGAAAAGAGCTTATGAGCTATGACATAGAAGGCTTGTTTAGATAACATGATTTTTTTTAACATCTTTATTGGAGTATAATTGCTTTTCAATGGTGTGTTAGTTTCTGCTTTATAACAAAGTGAATCAGTTATACATATACATATGTCCCCATATCTCTTCCCTCTTGCATCTCCCTCCCTCCCACCCTCCCTATCCCACCCCTCTAGGTGGTCACAAAGCACCAAGCTGATCTCCCTGTGCTATGCGGCTGCTTCCCACTAGCTATCTATTTTACATTTGGTAGTGTACATATGTCCATGCCACTCTCTCACTTTGTCCCAGCTTACCCTTCCCCCTCCCCGTGTCCTCAAGTCCATTCTCTAGTAGGTCTGCATCTTTATTCCCGTGCTGCCCCTGGGTTCTTCATGACCTTTTTTTTTTTTTAGATTCCGTATAAATGTGTTAGCATATGGTATTTGTTTTTCTCTTTCTGACTCACTTCACTCTGTATGACAGACTCTAGGTCCATCCACCTACAAATAACTCAATTTCGTTTATTTTTACGGCTGAGTAATATTCCATTGTATACATGTGCCACATCTTCTTTACCCATTCATCTGTTGGTGGGCACTTAGGTTGCTTCCATGTCCTGGCTGTTGTAAATAGAGCTGCAATGAACATTGTGGTGCGTGACCCTTTTTGAATTTTGGTTTTCTCAGGGTATATGCCTAGTAGTGGGATTGCTGGGTCGTATGGTAGTTCTATTTTTAGCTTTTTTAAGGAACCTCCATACTGTTCTCCATAGTGGTTGTATCAGTTTACATTCCCACCAACAGTGCAAGAGGGTTCCCTTTTCTCCACACCCTCTCCAGCATGTATTGTTTGTAGATTTTTTGATGATGGCCATCCTGACTGGTGTGAGATGATATTTCATTGTAGTTTTGATTTGCATTTCTCTAATGATTAATGATGTTGAGCATTCTTTCATGTGTTTGTTGGCAATCTGTATATCTTCTTTGGAGAAATGTCTATTTAGGTCTTCGGCCCATTTTGGGGTTGGGTTGTTTGTTTTTTTGATATTGAGCTGCATGAGCTGCTTGTAAATTTTGGAGATTAATACGTTGTCAGTTGCTTCATTTGCAAATATTTTCTCCCATTCTGAGGGTTGTCTTTTGGTCTTGTTTATGGGTTTCCTTTGCTGTGCAAGAGCTTTGAAGTTTCATTAGGTGGGTCAAAAAGGATCTTGCTGTGATTTATGTCATAGAGTGTTCTGCCTATGTTTTCCTCTAAGGGTTTCATAGTGTCTGGCCCTACATTTAGGTCTTTAATCCATTTTGAGTTTATTTTTGTGTATGGTGTTAGGGAGTGTTCTAATTTCATTCTTTTACATGTAGCTGTCCAGTTAGATAACATGGTTTTTTTTTTTTCTTTTAGGTGAATGGGAAAATGAGAGAGAATGGGGGTTAGGGGATGAACAGGGGACAAAGAAAGAAATAGACATAAGGGAAGGTTACTTAATATCAGCCTCCAGTGGCTTAGTGTCTAGAAGGAAAAACATTTCCTCTAGGCGCTTAAGTTCAGGCAATGGGGGCCTGCAAATTAAACGCATAAAAGGCAGATAACAGGAGAAGGTTATTTGTATGCATATGGAAGCTTACAAAACAAGTAGCTCAATAGTGGTAAAAGTTAGAGGCTTATATACTTTTCTTAGTAGAGAAAAAGAAGAGGATAAAAGGCCTCTGGGAAGAACAAATGGGTTTCTAAAAGAAAAAACAGGAGGTAAGAAAGTTTGTGATTATGTTTGTTCATGCCTGTGTGAATGGTCTTTGTCCTTTTCAAGGCCTTAAAACTCCCCTGCAAAGGGTGATTCAGGGTAGGTTTGCTCTTGGCCTCCTTCCTGGGACCTAAAAGCCTCCTAGCAAAAAGGGGATTTATGGTCTCATTTCTCAGAAGTTTCTATGTTTAGTCAGATAATGAAGTTCCAAAAAGATTTCTTTCTGCATCTGTTGAATCCCAGATGTCATCAGTTTAAAATAATCTTCATCCCAGCTCTGGGGTTCTTAGTGGGTCCCCACATCAGCAATTGCACCCTAGTTTCTGTGAGCCTAAGTTCATCATTCTGAATTTTGATTTGGGGGTTTTGCTTTTTTAGATAACCTTTCATGTATGACTGAGGATCCTCACTATCAGATATTAAGAAACAAAACAACAGAGCATACACAAAAATGCCATTTCTAGCTATAAATCATGTTACTTGAGTCTGTGTAGGTACCTGAGGGAAGAAAATAAAGGTGAGAGCTCATTAGTCCTGGTTTGAATAGAGGACATTTGGAAGGAGATCTGTTTCATCTGGTGCCTTGGGAAGTGTGATCCTGCACCAGCAGTATGAGTATCACCTGCAAGCTTGTTAGAAATGCAAATCACAGGCCCCAGACCCACTGAATCGGCATCTGCATCTCAGCAAGATTCCCCTGTGACTTATCATGTGCCCATCAAGTCTGAAAGCACTCCTGTCAATCTCAGATGCACTTTCAGATTACCTAGGGAGCTTTTAAAAGCCCCAATATCCAGGCTGCACCTCTGACCAATTAAGTCAGACACTCGGGTTGAGATGTCCAGAGATGTACAACCTCCCCAGGTGATTCTAATGTGTAGCCAAGATGGAGAATCACTCACTAAATAAGAGAGAAGCTTAATAATGGCCCCTTTGGTAAACCCTTTGAAGTAAGGTTACTAAAAAGAAAAGAAAAGTAAATACCCAAAAACCAGTTTATGAAAAACAGTGAAGCCTTCAGGTGGTGAAATCCCAAATTGAAAGGCTATAGCAGTAAGCTTGCCAAAGGTTGGGCTCCTCTGACCATTTCATAAGTGAAGCTCAGGGAGATAGAGGAGTTTTCT